GTATGTGTGCGGACACCGACCAACTCCCGGCGCTCTCACCAAAAATGGTGATCTGATTCCTATCTCCGCCAAATAAGTGGATGTTTTCTCTAACCTACATGTATTATTGTATAAGTAATACTTAAATAATTCATATGATATGTTATTAATAATAAAAATTAAAATTGAATTAATACCCATTTTAAGCCTAATAACTGGTCATAAAAGCCGACATTTCCGGGCGCGTCCTCCCGATCCCCGTATAGGAACCCAAACTCTCCTAACCTATAGTTTGTGGACACAATCACCACATCTTGTGTGGCCAAAACACTGCCATTGTATTTATCCATGAATATTGAGCCGCCGCTCAAACCTCCGCCATATATCCAAAACATAACCGGTTTTAAAGCACTCGACGTCTTATTCGGGGCCCAAATGTTAAGCACCAGACAGTCTTCGCTGAGCGACAGCCCTTCGCGAGGGTTTTGCATACATGAATGCTTCGGTTTTGTCGCATCGATTACCTCCTTATGTTGTAATATATAAAGGATTTTATTATAAAGTCTTTACATTAAGTCTATTATACTTTTAATGGCTTTTTAATGGCCACCGGTTTAGCAAACCTTAGGCTCCCGACCGGCGGCTCAGCAAAAGGTATTCCTAAAAACTGGTCAATACTTGTGTTGAGCACATGTAGTGTCTGACCCCTCACTACACCAGACGTTGTGTTTACATCAATACAACTAACCTGGTAGTTATAACTATATACAATTGCTATAGTTAATATTAATAACGAAATATTATTTTTAATTAACATTGTTAAATTTAATATAATACTATATAACTAAACTGTAGTAAAGTAAACTAAATAAATGTTAACAAATATTAACTTTATTTATATTGCTTTACTATGCAACTAACTTTACTTGCAACTATTTACTGTACAGGTTACTTGCTAGTTTTAGTGGTATTTATTAAATACCGTTATAGTTAGTTTACTATTGTTACAAAATAATTTACAAAAGGTTAAATTAAATAACATTGAAAACATTTAGGGCTCATGCGTGCATGATAAACTTATATTGGTAAACTAAATGTAAAGTAAACTTTACTTTTACAGTAGTTACTTATAAGTTATAACTTTATAATGTCATATGATTACAATTGAAATTATGAATTAGTAAGATTATTTGGTTTAAAATAACCCTGTTGATACAGTAGTTAATTGAATACAATATATAATTGTTGTAAACATTATTTTATTTAATATGTAAGTTATTTTTTAAATTGAACAAAATAATATAACATAATTAAAAAGATTATATAAACTACATTTGTCATTTATAAATTGTGATTAAAAATAATTACTACATTACAAATGTTTTCTAATCATTATACGGAAAAGTTTGTATCATAGTTAAATTTGCTAAACTATTATGTATTTGTATTCCGCAATAAGATTATGATAATTTATTTAAATGACCATAAATGTTAATGTTAAAACTACACTGAAAAATAGTAATTAAGTTTTTGGAAAATTTATTTATATAGACATCAAATATTTGCTTACAGTCTAATACAGTATAATAATAATTAGCGTAATCCAAACTACCGACCATGGTCGTTTTTGCCATATTACAGATGGTTTATATACATAGTTTAAAATACAAATATGCTTCAGTCTCAACTTAAACTGTTTAATGAAACTTAAAATACATATAATTTTTGACTTAACACAACGTTATATGAATCTTACATTCCTAATAATTTATTAGAAAGCATATAGTTCAATGTTAATGGGCAAAATGCCAAAAAGTTTATATTTAAAATTTTTTATATTTGTTTTAATTTGCAAAAATAATTATCATTGTAAGCATAATTGAAATTGATATAAATGATGTTCAGTAATTACGTGATTCACCATAAAAAAGTACATAACTGTTATTAAATTTCTTAATTTTGATTGACATGGTTATTTATAAAATAAAAGATTTGATTTTTAAAATTTTACTAATAAAAGTGGTCACTACGGCCAGACCCGAAAGCATATGGACATATGAAGTATATCACTCGGCTATTTGAGTGTACTTTCATTATATAACAATAATTCATAAGTACCCACTATCCCACGAATGGGCATACACATTTCTAGAAATATTTTTAACCAATTATTTTATTATTTCTGTATCCTTTGTATCGTTAAGTCTTATACTAAAAGACTGTTTTAATTAAATATTAATTAAATTTTGATTGTGTGGAAAATATTTCAAGCCTATAGTAAATCGTCTTTCGATAGATTTATTAATTATTTCTGCGAAGAGTTGTCGGTTTTAATTGATGTGCAAACAGTGGTATATCTGAGACAATTTATGGTAAATATTGTCGGCAATATAATCAATTTAACAAACTGATAAAATTTTTAAGTGCGGAGGGTGGGGGATTTAGACTATCAATTTTTATCCTATTGGTAATGTTAAGTATGTGGAAGTAATGTTAACTCTATAGGACTAATGCTGATTTTATGGAAATATCTATAATGATAAGACTGGCATAGGATTAAGTTAGATAATAATAAGTCTATGGCGATCATCAAATAACATAAAGCAAACATTGATAATATTATTCATAATAAATAATTACAATAATATTTTTTTTGTTTAAATATAACTTATTTTCTTTAACTATTCTATTTTTTAATAAATTATTAGTTTAGAAATGTTGAATTTATTTTCGCATCCTTAATTTTGCCTTCCCCCATTATTTTCACCCCCTTGGCTCACCCTAATTAATAATAATGTAAAGTACGGTGTAATTAGATATTATTTTCAAATCAGTAATGCTATAATAATTGACTAAATTTGTTTATGTTTATGAATTAAATGTGATTTCAAATCACTAGATGTAACAAAGCGTTGATTACAGTTATTATGAATACATTTATGGCTTTTTATTTTCAAATGTCTTTTCATATGTAGATTTAAATCAGATTTTCTGCGAAATGTTTTATCACAATTTTTAAAATTACAAATAAATGGTTTTTCTCCCGAATGTATGAGTTTGTGTGAAAGCAAATGTTGTATTGTTTTGAATTTTTTGCCACAATTTTCTTCATTACATTTGAATTTCCTTTCATT